TGGGGACCTAGTCTCTGGTACTTTAAAGGTATTTGAGATCTGGTAAGAACCTTGAAAATTAATGGCTAATGGGACAAGCCCAGCATGCTGATAGTGGATTTTGAAACTGATTCCTAGTCTAGAAACAGTCTTGGAAAAGCAATGATGATTTGGTTGCATTGTAAACATGTACAGGAATTATATAAACTGGTCTCTATCCTTGTCATTGGTACTTCTTTGAATAAAATGGTTATCATATATTTTTATTAAACGCAATAATCATCATCCTAAATACTGGATGACATTAATTAACACAGCCAAACATGTTTCTGGAAAATAAATAATAATTATGCACACAGTGATGGAAATGGACATAATGAAAACATGGTTTCTCAAGAAATAAACACATTGCACTATGTTGACTTTAAACTGAATTTTGAGATTCAGCCATTTGGAAATATTTTAGAACATGTAGTGAATTTCATGCAAGAAACTGACATCTTTGAAATTGTCTGAAATGATCTATTCTGTTCTGGTTTCCTGATGTGTATGCATTTCTCACCTCCCCATATGTGCTATATGCCTGGCATAACTTGACCTCATTGATTTGGACTTCCTGGTGAAGAGTACAAATTATGAAACTTTTCATTATGCCATTCTCCGTAGCATCCTGTTACTTCATCTGTCTCGGATCCAAATAATTTTTGAGCATCCTACCCTCATGTACAATCAATTTAGGCTCTTCTTATAATGTGATTGACCAAATTTCATACACATATGAAACCACACATAAAATTATAGTTCACTTCCTTATTTCCACGCTAAGAGGGTTCCTTGCCACTATGGCGTGGTGCCTCCTTGGATTTTGGATGGAGGGAATGACCTTCAGATATGGACTGTAACTGCGACTATATCGTGTAAGTAGTCGCCGACAGCCGATAAGTGGTGGTCCGCCAGCTTCGGGGTTTGGCGTGAGGCTAACAACTCATCACCGTAAAACATAATTTTGTTACGAAACGGGCCACGGGTGACTTGTCAAAAAGGAATTAGTTTCGAGGAGCTAGTAAGTTTTCCCAAATATTCTTCACAATTTGTTCTCCTGAAGAATAAGGGACCAATTTCATACAAAAAAAAAAACAAAAAAACAACAAACTTCGTGGTTTTGGTCCGCAAGCGAACTATACCGACTGAGCGACCGCCGCTTGTCGGCGAAGTTAGTGCCAACTTGAGCGGATAGAGGGTGCCGCGTGGTCAGCGCAACGAATCCCCACGGTCGTTAATTTCGGTTTTCTAGACCGGAGTCGCCATTTCCTTGAAATAGCTCCTCAGTTATCATCACAAAGCTGAGTGGACCCCGTTTCCAGACTCACTAATTATCAGAAAAAATCTGGTAGCTCCGGGAATCGAACCCGGACCTCTGAATCTGACCACTAGACCACAGAGGCAGTCGGACCAATTGAACGGACCCCGTTCCAGACCCACTACTTCTCAGAAAAAAATCTGTTAGCCCCGGGACTCACACCCGGACCTCTGGATCTCTAGCCAGGAAATCTGACCACTAGACCACAGAGGCAGTCGAACCAATTTCATACACAACGGATAAAATTACATTATTATGTACATTTGATATTTAGATTTTCAGAAATGAGAGAGGAGGATAAAAAACCATACGGTGAACTGAATTTAATTTCACAGTGAACATACATTCGTCACAGAAGAAATCAAAAGATACTCTACCATATACCACAACCGACTAATGGGACACGAAAACAGCTGCGTAACTGAACTAAGCAACCCATTAAACATCAGACGAAGACTAAAACGTCAATGGCCCTCAGACTTAAAAGAACACAGTGTTGAAGATGGGTAGCCGTACTCAACAACATAATGCAGAGTATACTACATAGGAGAATCATCACTGGATGATCACTCCGCACAAGTGATTTCTTACAACATATTTACTTATTGCTCCCTTGTAGAGTAGATTGTAAATTGCGATAAATTAAAAAAAAACAGTGAACATAATTTCTGCCCTTCAACTCCTTTGTTTATACCGTCTTCTCCATAGATGGCACTCAATGCGGTTTTTTTGTTTTTTTGTTTTTTTTGTTTTTTACTTTTCCACGAACTTTAATGTGGACTTCTCTGCCATCTGTATGCAGGTTTTGAATTAAGACGTTTCCGGTTAGTAGCAACAGAAACGTGATATGTGCGCGTCACGAAAACAGTTTCTTCGTGTGCAAGAATGAATTTTCTTACAGTTATATATTTTTGTGAAGGTGAAATATTTTGTGATAAAGCATGATAAATTATGTACATTCAGAGAAAAATACTGTTATGCAAATCAGAACTATTAATCCTACAGACTGGTGGAATGACTTTCTTTTTCTTCGTCACACACATCCAAGCTGAAGTATAGGTGAGTTATGAGTCTTAGAACTATTTGCGAAACTTTGATGAGATGTTCTCACTGTCTCTTCGCTTGCGGATTTTCTTATTTTTCCTTATACCCTGAAGATGGAGCCGATACCTTCCTCCGAAACGTCGGTTAACACCGCATCTACACGGTGCCACATCCCAGAAGACTGCATTCTTCATAGTCACTGCCGTGAAAACCTCAAATCTTACAAGATGTAGTATAGCTGGGGGATTACCGATAGGGAGAAGACCTTAAGGCCATTATCCAGGAGCCAGTCCCATTATACACTACAAATTTAGAAATGTTAGAATTATATTTCATGTTTTAACATTAGCTTTAATAAATGGATATTAGACGGGCCTGGTTATGCGTATACAGGTTGAATGGCCATTTGCGCTACATAAATTAGAATTGGTTTTGTTGGGATTAGTGACCAAAATTTTCTGAGTAAAATGTAAACGGTCCTCTGTTGTGAAGTGTCTATGTCTACAGTACCTATAATTTGTATTTGCGAAGTTATCTGTGACCTATGTAATTGTGATCCCTAATGTTTACTAATACTCTGCATGCCGAACCTTCGTTTTATACTAACTAAAGAAACTGTCAACCTTGGAGTGGTTATTACCTGTCGCTGGTCTAATTGGTCAACTTAAGAAAATGCTTAAAATTGACTGGCCACAATTAATGTATAAATAGAATGAAGCTGAAAAACTGTTACATAACCAGTTTTTTTGTTAAAACGAGACAAAATGTCAGTAAATTGTCCATCATTATCACCATCTGTCATCATCATTGTCTGTGTTAATGTTCTGCGAAAAGATTTGTGTTGAATAAGCATTCATGGACTGCCGACAAGGGGCGCAATTCCGTCTTGGGGAATAGCTTGGGGCTAAAAACAATCGGCCGGTCACGGTAGCCGAGCGGTCTAAGGAATGTACTCTCTTCGCTCGCTTGGAAACCGGGATCGTGTGTTCGAATCACACTCAGGGCATGGATGTTTTGTTTGTGTTTGTGCGTTTTTCTGTGTCTGTGTACAGGTAGAGGGCTTGCGACGAGCTGATCACCCGCCCAAGGAGTCCTACCGAATGTGTAAGATCTAGAAAAACCGAAGTGAACGGAGAAGTTCATGGAGGTAGGCCTAGGCCCACTGGGGCTGTAGTGCCAAGGGGGGGGAACAAAAGAAAACAACAACAACTCCAGGTAAAAAGCATCTAGTTTTTTACGAAAAGTTAGGCCTTTGATGAAGAAATAGGCTTTGCCTTTGTAGGCTGGATTCATATATGCCATCTAAAGCTAATAATTATAAGAGTTAAGAATTATCTTGTGATGAGTTCGTTTCTTGTAAAAATCTGCTTGAGTTAAGCGTAGTATTCGTGCAGTGAATGTGTTGTAGCCTGTTTCATAACAGAAGGCGCAGCGGTCGTATCGCCGCTGGTTCCTTGGGAAGGGGGTGGCCACTACAGAGAGTCGTTATAACATATATATATATATCGAATTTGTTTTCTTATATAAAATTCTACTCGGAGCTTACATTGGTGTACGATCTTTCAATTTTTATTTCCAAGATATCCAAATCATTATTAGAGGACAATAACGTTATAGATCCGGCTTATACCTAAAGTAAATTTATGGGTGCCTGATGCCCTACCGCAGAATAAAGAACACTTTTTAGCCTACGTTCCTCACTTTGAAAGAAAAATGGAAGTAGGCTTATCCGACCTCCATGCTGTGTGACCTCTCCCCCTTACCAATTTTTGAATGCCGGAACCAATATTTGTGATTATTGGTATGTACAGTACATCATGGCACCTGAGCCCATGTCAACAGCGTACTTCATAAATCCATCCCATTAGTCTGTGTGTCTATGTATATCCCTCCTACCGTTGCTAGGCAAAGGCTCGGAAAAATATATCCCTCCTTCCATTGCTAGGCAGCGGCCCGATAAACAGGTTCCAAAAACAAAGAATGCAAGCAACAATAGAAGAATTGTTTGACGCGTGTCTATGTATCCTCCTTTCGTTGCTAGATAACAACTCGGTAAAGACATTTCCGCGGAGATGAAGAATTTTTGGAGGAGTCGTTTTCTATGTGGCCAATTAAGACACGAAATTGAAAAAACCACAAAAAGAGTCGCGGGTCTCAAGGAAATCAATATTTAAGGCCACACTCTTAGATTTATAATATACGAAACACAGTTTTTGAGAAAGTTTATTAGCTTCAGTTTGAGCAAGCTGTAGGATACTGGAGAAGTTCGTTTTTCCAACTTTGTCTTTTCTTTTGCATAGGGGGGTTGAGTCCAGTTGGGTCCACTCGGCACGGCGGCCACTGATTGGCCTATTGTACTTGCCCCTGGTGATTATGATGACGGAGAAATTGGTGGAATGAAGATTGGCAGGGGAAACCGAAGTACTCTGAAGAAAAACCTACCCCAGCGCCACTTTGTCCACCACAAATCCCACTTGATCAGATCCGGGTTTGAACCCGGGACTCCGCAGTGGGAAGCCGGCGACTAACCGCTTGAGCTATGGCGCGACCTCACCTTTGTCTTATTATGTAATTAAGTAGAGAGACAAAGAGGGATATTGTGTCACGTATATTTTACCTGTCATAGTCCGCCTTGCAGTAGAGTTTGGCGTTGCGACAGTAACAGGAGTGACTGAGGAGGACCCCGCACTCGCTGCAGGCCAAGCAGTGTTCGTGCCAGCTTGCGTCAGCCACTCTCATCAGGAAACGATCGTGGATCTTCTGCCCACAACCCTCACACACTTCATACGTCTTCTCACACTTGATCGTCGTGGTGGCTCCGACGGGACCTCCACTACCACCACCGCCTCCAGTACCTCCGCCTGCAGCACCCACCTCTGCGTAAGGAAGATTATACACATGAAGGATCTTAGGTTCCGACAGCGGCGGTTATAAAGAATTGTATCCTCTGGGTAGATATCGCTGTGTAGTACTGCATATAGTATTTACAGACGTTTCGGAAGAAATTACTGTGTGTAAGCAGAGTTCTGCTTGATGCTTGCTTCATGATGGTTTCTTTTTTGACTGATTCTTCAACCCTAAACATGACGGCGATAAGTTCTTCCGAAACGTCGGCTGATTTTCAGCAGACTGCACGGCATTATATCCTGGAAGACAGAACTATTTAAGGTGACATTTGTTTCAAAAAATAAATATCGAATATTGGGCTTAGTGGTAAAACAGGTCCTTGATAGTTACAGGGCCGTTCCTGCAATAATGCAGGACCTTGAATAAATCGGCTTAAGCCGGTTGTTAGTATGAATGACGTCTTTGATTGTGACGTCATATGTTGTAGGAATATGTCCTTGATGTATCGCAGCAAATTCTGCCCCAAGATCGATGTAACGAAATTCTTATATATTCTTACATATCTCCCAACACTACAATGCATTAATTCAGGAACTCATAATGTATTTTTCCGCATTTAGGATAATGTTCATCAACTTGTCCCTGAGTTCTTGAAAGCCAGTACACTCTCTCTCTCGACCAATCAGCTACACACCCATATGCAAAATATTGATTGATATCCAAGACAACCTTCGTCTTCTGGCAGGGGCAGGAGGTTTTCTCTTCTCCGTATCGTCCAGATCAGCTCTAGGAGATACCCGGTCTCCTGTACAGTGGGTATCAGGGACTATTCGCCTGTGGGTAAAGCGGCCAACGGGTGAAAATGACCAATTTTCTCCATATTGTTGTGCCGAGGACAAGATTGGCGGGGATGTACCTCCACTCCCCTGCATACCTTCATGGCGTGGTGCTTAATTAATTGAACCATGGTTAACTGTACCTTCATCCAAGAAAATCAAATGAGACATTGCCTGCAAGAGCTATTAAACAGTCAGTACAGTGTAGTTCTGACGAATGAACAATTGCCTTGAGTTTTGTATTCAGCAAAACCTTCGCGGGATGTAGGTCAGTCATCTGTACAAACATTTTCGTAAATTCTCCTTATTGTGCCTATTGCAGGAATATTTTAAGTCATACGGACGGAGGGTGGGGCACTTCTCAGACGTGCAGGCAGCTGTAAGAAATTTATTACCAAAATAATAGAGCACGATTCTCCGTAGCTTGTGTTGCTAAGCAACCACATTTCAAATGTTGATACTGTAAAGTATAGAACTGTCACTTGTTCATTCCGAGTTAAATTATTAAAATATTTTCTTACACCTGACCGGTTGATTTTAACCACCAGTTTTACCACAATGCGAATAAATAACAATACACATACACATATATATTTCTTATTCATTACTTACTTACAGTGTTACGGGGCACGCGGTAGCGTAGTTGATTGAGGTACTATGTTACAAGCTGGAAGGTCGCGGGATTTTATCCAGATGAGGTGAACTTTCCAATTTACCTAATCTATCCAGACGCACTATGGCCCTGGAATCAACTCAGCCTCTAACAGAAATTAGTATCAGGTATCTTCCTGGGGAGTAAAGGGCGGCCGGTGCGTAAGGCTGACAACCGTACCGCCATCTATGAGCGGATTGTCTAGAAAATGTGGGAGCCTCAACATCTCACAACCCTATGGGCCCCCACGGTCTGTTACAGCGATACATTTACTTTTTTTATAGTATTATAATCCTGGCAGAAACATGTGTTAATTTATTTATAGGATGTTAGTTCCTATCGAATGTTTTCCTGTTAAAGCTAACATTTAGGCCTTTCTTGTTTGAATATAGACTAACTTCATATTATAATTTAATTTTTTGAAATTCCTTTGTATTTGCAGATAGTTTTCTATAGAATTTAATCGGAATTTGCTTCGACAACCTGGTCGTTGGAATAAAGAGAAAAATCAAATTCTTTGTCATTATAGACTAAAGTTGTGCGTGCTTTTACTCATGACATGGCCTTATACAAAATATGAAACACAATAATACATAGGACTTCAATTTTCTCGTAAGATCCAAGGCTTCTACTCTCAGTTTTAGTCCCATCTGGCTTACACATATCCGGAAATATCACACTAACAATTTGCTGCAACTAGCAAACTCTCTGCTCCTAGGTGCTGATCCTATTCTCTTAAAATGAACCCTTTGCAGGGGATGACAGCCATTTCTGGTTTGAAGAAATTATAGAAATACACAATCGTCCATTGGTGCAACGTCACTCTTCCGCCATCTAACCTCGTGTAGACGCCCACAAATACTGAAGTACAGTTTGCACATTCTCCTGCTTATATATTCAGTGTATATTTCGTTGAAGTTTCAAATTTCAAATACAGCTTCATTTTTCCTTTGCCTAAGTCCTACCAACACGCCGCGACGCCAGGATTCGATCCCGGGTGTGGTCAAGTGGGATCTCTGGTGAACAAAGTGGCGCTGGGGCGGGTTTTCTCCGAGTACTTCGGTTTCCCCTGCCAATCTTCATTCCACCAAATTCTCCATCATCATAATCACCCGGGGCAGGCTACAATAGGCCAATCAGTGGCCGTCGTTCCGAGTGGACCCAGCTGGACTCTACCCCCCACTAAGCGAATTTAAAAAAAAAGTCCTAAGAAATGACCCATCCAATTTCGTGATTTTTTGTGACAATTACTAAACTTTTAGTTTCACGCAGAATAATCACAGAAATTTAATTAAAATTAGCAACGAATGAAAAATGTCGCTTGGAGTCCCCTGTCATAGTGTCGTATCGTAGTGTGTTCTGTGGTTCTGTGCAGCAGTGTTCTCAAACCTTTCTGCACCTGCGGCACACCCGAATTTTTCAAAAACACATGACGGTATACCACAAAATAATAAAAACTTAATACTGAATAATATAATTGTGACTATTGCATTTTCTCTAATTATAACATGCGAATGTATAATTTCTTATGACAACTCGTTGCACACCAAATACTTTGCTGAACACTGCTCTGAGAATTTCTGACGAAGAACTATTGCAGACGGAATATTTTCTTCCTACTTGGAAATTTTACCGAGACAATGAAAGTTATTGACAGGAATCGATACTAAGTTTCAGAATTCGAAATAACAACACGAGTATCGTGCTTTGGCCTGCATTCAACAAAACACGTGCGCTGTGATGATCTTTCCGAAACCAGTTTCAGGCGCCGGAAATACTGGATTTTTGAACTTTGTCCAACTTCCGGTATTCTAAAAAATAGCAAACACAACGTTTCGGAAACTGGATCTGTTTCCTTCTTCAGGTGAGAAGGGGGAAGACACCTACTCTTTTGGGTCCCCTAGACAGAGCTAACATAAATCACTGGACAACCCCTGTCAATTCACTAGAGCTATTTCATTACCTGACCCCAGGTTAATTCGGTTAGACGTAACAGGAAAATATGCATTTTATTGAATATTTTCCTACCATCTCCTTCCGCATTAGCCTTGTCTCAGGTAATAAAACAGCTATAGTGAATCCGACATTGGTTGCCCAGTGATTTAGGTTAACTCTTTCTAAGGCACCCAACAGAGTAGGTGTCTCCCCTCCACCTGAGGACGGAAATAGATCCAGTTTCCGAAACATCGCGTTTAGTAGTCTTTCGAATACTGGATGATGGACAGAGCCCGAAAACACAGTAATTCTGAGTGTTATACAGCATCGTCAGAACCCTTTAGAATCTATACCTGTAGCACTTGTCAGCTACCAAGACGCGATATTTTGAAGTACCGATGCAATGACAGGATTTTAAAGATCAGATGCAGTTAGTTAGTTATTGGAGAGGGTGGGTTTCCCCATGCACTGAGATCTGTATTGGTCATTGTGCTTCCCTCTATGATTTCTACCAGTCTCTATATCCTACCGGTACTGGTGCTTACGATCAGTCCCGCCCAGCCAGCGAGACCGGCTCTACTAACTGAGAGGTACCTATAATGCTTCCCCCATCTACCAGAGGTATTAGAGACTGCTGTTGGGCGGGAAACGTCCGTTCATTTGGCTCAGTGACCTCCTTTGGAGATATGAGGTTCTTTTAGGTGCCGTAAAGTTACGACACGGGACCCACGGCTTAAAGTCCCTCCCGGAGGACTTGTTTCTGAATTTTTCCGCCCTTAAAAATTCGACGACCTCCGCCGGGTATTTGAACCCGCGTACTACGAGTCATGAGGTGGGAACGTTACCTCTAGACTACGGAGGCCGCTTAAGATCAAATGTAAATCGGGTTCTCTTCTATCACTCCTTCGATTCCTCTCCCCTCTTGCTGGAGGTGCTTAATATTGAGAGAATCGATAGAATTGCTGCTTTCTCCTCATTCTTCCGTCGCTATTTGACTTGTGATTCAAGAACATCAAAAGACCTGTCCGAACTCATCCATTCTGCTGTACAGCATTCATCAAGCGACAGGGCATAGGGCGGTTGTCCTATTAACTGTGCTACTTTACACTAAAGTCACACCACTCCGAAATATGGACGCTACAGTGGTAACAGCATGGGATGGAGTCAGTTGATTAAGCTGAAAGTAATTACTCCGCCGTTTAATGACGACACCAGGGAGCAAGGTTAATTCGATGTGTCGTGTACCCCTTCTCGTCTCCTCTTTCTACAGGAGCTCTGGACCAATTAAGTTGCCTGGGTAATTAACGAGATGACGTCACACGAGCCATTGGTCTATAACGTGGATGCTACCCTGTTACGATAGAAGCTTTGAATAGTAATTGTCAATGTGACGTCTGTACTATCTTCATTGTGACTCAATTGACAGAGTAGGGAGTTATGGCAGGACATGAAGTTGCTCAAGACTTGGTCGACACGAGAGTGTGGGATTGCGTTCAATTGCGTTTCGTTCAATGAAGAACATTGTCGCCGGTAGTTATGTGAACAGGTAAACCAATCACATCTTAACCCTTTTCAGCAGAGTGGTTACCATTTTTACCACCTGCTT